AGCGGCTAGTAAGCAGTCAAGATTGTACACTCGACAGGTGGCTTTAGGAGGTACTTCAAATGTCATTGTACAAATCTGCACAGAGAGCTGGTTATTTAGCATATGAGAGAGTAGAAATAGTTTTTCCTTGGTCAAGGAGGTTGTATTCGGGACACGTGGTTAGCTAGAAAGGTTGTATACAGCACCAGCACACAGGGGTGTAAGGACGCAGTGTGCTCAGTCCCCCCACCCACCCTGCCCCCGCCCCCAGAGCTTTCCGTGGGGAGCTCTGCTCAGTCCGTGACACCGCCCCACCCATCCCTGGGGATGGAGGACCCCGGAGGACTCTCACCTACCGGAGCCGAAGGCCTGGTGCTCCCACTCCCACAGCATCTGCTGCAGAGTGGGCTGGGCGTGCGAGGTGCTTCTTGGGAGACTGAAGGGCAGTCAGTGGAGCCTCACTGAGGTTACGGGACCAGGTGCCACAGCCGTTTTGATCTACGCTGACAACAATCTCATCTGAGTGTCGTGTGCATTGTGACATTCACAGTTCGGAAGGAGGAAAGCCGATACTAGTATTTCCTGGTCAGTCTGCAACACATGGTGAGGGGAGGGCGGGGAGGAGAGTCTTGCAATGTACGCAAGGGGTGTTTAGGATTTAAAACACTGATCATGAGGGAGTCATCGAAGGCTTTGAAGGAGAGGAACGATGTGGAGAAGGTGTTCGTGCTTCAGTGCTGAGGGCTGAGACGCTGGGGCAGGAGGACTGTTAAATTCAGAGTGGAGCCAAGAAGTGGGTGGACCCAGAGCTGGGGCTTCTGCAAGGTCACGCTTCACAGACTCCCCCAGCCCCCTTGAGCCCTGGGGCTGGTCCAGGACTTCCCGAGTCAGAGTGAGTGCGACGAGCAGCCAGCTCAGTCCACCGCAGAGCAACGCATCCACATTGTGATGAGTCAGGAGGAATCCGTCCCAGACACATGGATTAAATTTCCTCTCAGATATACAGGGGGGCTGGGGGCGGGATTTGGGGCCAGCTGATGTGATCGGCAGCCTAGGCTTCTCCAAGAAGACATACTTGCAGCAAAGACGGTGTGGCACAGAGGGGCTCTCGGAGGCCCCAATCACCCTTGAGCCCCTCACGGATGCCTGTCCTTGGCGGGTCAGAACCAGGGTCGGTCGCCATGGCCTCTGCATAGAGCCGGCCTGAAGAACGATTTGCATTCTCTCCCCCAGCTCTCTGTCTCTGAAACTCATTTCCTAAGTTGGTCTTCTTCTCACTTGGAGGCGACACTTTCCCGGATCAAAACTCATGAGCTGTGCAATGCCCTGGCTGTTGCTCCCTAGGGTGCGTTGTGAAAAATTTGGAGACAATGGAGTAGAACAGACGGCTGAGCTAGGAAACAGCCTGGTCTCTCCCACCCCTTCGCCTGCCCACTCCCCAAGCTGGGTGAGCAGGCTGGACTGGAAAAGCCTGTAGAGATCCCCAGCTTTTTGTCAGTTTTCAGGCAGGGACAGCCATTTGGAGACCCGAGTTCAGGCCAGCTCCCGTCTCTGGATGTCTGCTAAAGACCGGTACCCAGTAATTTTATTTTCTCAAGACCTCTGCTCTGCCTACTCACAGCGCTGTCATGAATGAAAGTTGATATTTGTGAACAATAATAATGATTAAGGTAGTGCACTGTTCCTGGATGCTTAGCGTACACGAGGCATGGGCCGAGACTTTCCCTCGGAGTAACCCATTAGATCCTCACGGCTGTTTTCACCGATGGGGACACTGAAGGTTAGGGAAAATTATTTGCTCAAAATCATTGTAGTGGGTTGAATGGTGGACCCCCAAATACACGCACCTGTCTATATCCCTCCAAGGGAGTGTGGCTCCGCCGACATCTTGGATTTGGGCTTTTGCTCCTCGTAACTGAGAATAAGTTTCTGTTGTTCAAAGCCACTCAGTTTGTTACAGCAATGCTAGGAAACCACTACAGTTGTATGGCAAAGTTGTAATTTTACAAAAATTAAAGCTGTCATTATAGAAAAGAGTAGAGACACCCTAAAGGAATTATCATATATTATCAAAGGGAAGAAACAGGACACACACACACACACACACACACACGCACATACAGGAGATGTATGCACTCATATACAGATATATACAGGGTGGGGAAAGTAGGTTTACAGTTGTTCATATGGAAAATAATACGTTAATAAATAACAATACAACAATAAACTCTGTGGAATAAACTCTGTGTTTTGGATACTAACAACAGTATATCTGTATCTGTTTACCTATGGGTCTATCTGGTAGTTACTCTGGATAAGGAGTTGCTTAGTTTTCTTCCTTGGGTTTGCCTTCACTGTCCAGTTATCAGTGAGTGTGTATCACTTTGGTAACCAACTCTTTAAAAATGGACTAAAGGAGAGGTACCGTGGACTCAGACACACCTATTCTCCTGACCCGTACGGCAGCAGGGGACACGGTGGGCTTCCTGTAATGTCCCCATAGAATAATGTTTTCCTAAAAGTTTACCCCATTTTTCCCATCGTTCTGGCTGCCAGATTCCCCAGATTCTGCATCAGATCAAGCCCACAGAGTCCTGGTGAGGACCCCTAAGTCTGCCGACCCACTGCTTTCCTTCAGGAATTAGCCACATGTCCATATATTGCTGCCTCACACGAGCAGGTGTGTTCTGGAAAGGCTGTGATGAAACAGAGCTTTAATAAATTGAAGTGTGCAGGAAATGCGTCGGGTTCGCCGATCCTCTGAAGCCCCCTGGGACATGTCTGCGAAGTAGAGAATTGTCTGTCTTCAGGCCCACCCGCGCTGCCACCCACACTCTCTGTGCCAAGTCACGGTGTCGGTGTGTGCTGGGCCCGCTAGAAGGGCGAGAGGTCCCCACGGCTGTCTCCTCCGGCAGCATCCCAACGCAGAGGGCTCCGCATGCCCCTGACCCGCCCCAGACACCTTCCCAGGTGCAGATCCTCAAGGCTAGTGTGCTGTGCAGGGGGCTCCACCCCCTCCCGTGAATAGGGGCAGGCGGTGCTGGGCCCCGACTCAGCAATTCCAGAGCCCCCCAAATAAACTATTTGAATTCTTTTTTAAAAAAGTTTTCCATGCAAAGTTTTTTTTGTTTTAGAATCTAAATATAATAAATAGGCATTCTAGATAAAACTGTAATTTTTTTCCAAATAATATCCAAGCTAAAATAAGAAATCTCAAACTGGCTACAGGTATTTTCCTTTTTTCAAGGGTCTTTAAAAGGAAATATTGGCCATTGCTTTGAGGGACAATTTATATTAGACTCACTGGAAGGCATGGTTTTCCCCTGTGTCCTAACAGTCCCGTCGGTCTAGTTTCGGTTGGGAAGGTTCCCTTGCCTTGTCCTAAGACGTTTGAAGAATCTCCCGGAAGGCCAGGGAGCAGACTCGGACACTGCCCAGACAGGAGAAATAAAGGAGATGGGACCACTCAGCCAGGGACAGGACACAATTCAGCCACCATGACCCATGCGCCACTGAGCACAGGGCAGTACACTGTCCCGTCCACAACTTGGGACGCGACGCCAGAGCAGGCCTTGCCCCGGGAGGACCACCTGTGGGTGCTCATCTACCACGGTTTCCCACGACCCCAAATGCGCAGGGTGCAGCCTGCGGAGAGGCCGTTCCCAGAGGAGACCCAGACCCTCCCCTGCCGATGGCGCTGGGCGTGGGAGGGCCGTCCCTTCTCCGACCGCCTGCCTGCCTGAGCCGCCACCAGGGTTTTTACAAGACTGACAGTGGATGCAAGACGAGGGCTTCCAGTGAACGCGGGATGTGCCGGGTTGAAAAGAATAAACGGCCCTCTCCATGTCAGAGATCCTCCCTGGGTCACCCAGCCTGAGAAATCGCTGCCTCAGCCACATGTGCTGGCAGGGAAGACGGAGAAAATAGCGACCATAAAACTCAATGAGCCTTGGAGGTGAACCATAGGAAATCCTGAGGACGGCGGGTGGGGTGGGGGAGGGTGCGCGGGGGCGGTGCGGGGGGAGGGGGTGCGGAATTGCCGGCTGTTACTATTGAGTCTAGTGAAGACGGGTCACGGTGGGGGAGGGGAGACGGGACCGAGCAGCAGCGCGGATTGGAAACGTGGAAATTCTCTGGGGAGGCTCCATTCCCCCCAGAAAGAAGACGCTATAGCAGAACGTGAGCAATGAAGCTTCGCCTGGAGAAGGAGACGGTTCCCATTTGCATGTTAAGCAGTGGGAGGCCTCTCCCGGGCGGCCCCAGGGGAGGGCTGTCAGAGGGCTGTAACACTAACAGCCGAGGGTGTCCTGCGCACACCTCACTCCGTCTGGGGCAGAGCTGGTGGCCCCGCAGGCAGCCCCGTATACCCTAGGCACTCAATAATATTTGTGCCGAATTGCATTTAAAAAACGGGTTCTTGGTTGGCTCCGACTCCCAGAGTCTGGGCTCAGATGTCTGTCTCCTTATGTATGTGCTGAATTCTGTGACATCTGTGGAGTGAGGCTGTAAGGGCGGCAGGGTTCATCCCAAGAGCCTGAGCCCCATCAGGTTTGGTTCTATCACCGGCCCCCTCCCCCGTTAGATTACACAGGCCTGAATCCAGCCTGAGACTTAGGAGTGTGGCAGGGTCTGGGTTGCCCTCGGTTTTAGCTGCGCTGACCTGCCGAAAAGCGTGGCCCACCCTCCCCCAGCTCCCCTGGGTGCTGTTACCCCCAGCAGGGACTCCTTGCCCCTCAAAGTGCCCGCATCAGTGAGGGGAGTCCTCTGTAGCTTTGTCCCGCTCCCCTAAAGGGCACGCGAGGCTTTGTTCGTCTTTGCACACCTGTGCTCACGTCCCTGATGCCCAGGCCTCCGTGTCCACATGCCCGGGTTCTGGTAGTTTCCGATGAATCTATTCAAAGGTCTGTTTCAGGCACTGAACATACAGTTACTGAATAACTGCTGTGTGCCGGGCACGGCCGTAGGTTCTGGGGAGAAGACAGATAAAACTGCTGCTTCTGTGGCGCTTACATTTGGGGGCTGGGAGGGCAGACAAACAGTAAGCACGATCAGTAGGTAAATATTGTGTCAGAAGGCGGTGTGTTCGGAGAAAATCGGCAGGGTAAGGAGGATCTGGTGTGAGTGGGGGGGCTGGGGTTGAAAGGGGTGGTGGGGACGAGCCGAGGGACGGGAAGGCCGGTGGCCCCTCTGGAAGCGCGGCTGTGGGCGGGGAGGGAAGGTGGGGGCCCAGGGCAGCTGCACCGTGGTGGTCGGACCAGCTGTCTTTCCTGAGAGGGAGATGGAAGGGAGTAACCTGGGGCAAGGGCTGGGCGGGTGGGGGTGAGATAGTTGATTTTGGATGTTACTTTTGAGGGCTTTAAAAACAAATATGACGTGGGGAGGAGAGTAAATAAAGAGGATAAAAGTGAGATGGGAGATGGAAGGCGCTCTGCCTGGATGCCAGGGGGAGAGAAGGGTGGTGAGGGCAGGAGGTACGGGTATAGTGGGACCCTCCCAGTGTACCCCACTTTCCCGCAGGCTGGGGCCCAGGCTCGAGTTGCCCAGAGACGGCCTTGATGGCTCCGCTTGTGGAAAGATGTAGTCAGACAGCCTGGTGGTTGAGGACCCCCCTCCACTCCCCTCCCCTCCTTGGGCAGGGGGTAGAGCCAGGGTCTCTGTCTCCCCAGCTCCTAAGGGGTACAAGGGCATGTCCCACACTTATCTCCAGAATGGAAGGGCATTTTGCAGTCCGGCTGGTTTGCTGGCTGTATCTCAAGTGCCTAGAAGGGGGCCTGGATCACAGAGGAAAGTCGCTAGGTAATTGTTGAGCAAGGGACTGACTTCGGGTGCTCGCTGAGACTCCCCACTGCTGGGCGTGACAAGCCCACAGGGGATGTGGGCATCCCCCCTCCCCGCCTCCCCTGAAGTCTGGTGTAAGGAGCAGCATTCTCCTCCAGGAGGTCAGTGTGTCTCCGGGACCTTAGAGACAAAGTGACACGGTGCCGAGGGCTCTGAACTTGGAGGCCGGTTCTCGTCAGCCGAGGTTTACTGGCCTTGGACTTGGCCAAAGTCAGGCACTGTTGGCGAGCCCTTTGTCTCACGTGTGAGGCTGCCCTGCTGGTTCCGGCTGCTCGGCAGGGCGTTCGGAGGAACGCGAGGAGCGCCCGTCAGGGCTGGGGGAACCGGACCTCTGTGAGGGCGAGGCACTATTCTCCTCGCTCTTCCACTTGGGGAAACACAGACAAAGGAGAGTGGAAAGAACATCATAACAAACACTGCACTACTCCCCCCTCGGGACAACGAATGCTAATGTTGGTTCAACTGGCTTCATATTTCTCTGGAATAAAACCATGACATATCAAGTTCAAGTCCCCTGCCAATCACAACTTAATTCGATTCCTTCCTTCCGACCCTCTCCTACAAGGCAGCCGCTGCCCTGAATTTGGTGTATGTTGCTTTATCCCAGGTTGAAAATATCTGTATGTATTATTTGAGGATTACAATCTACAAGCAATGCATGGTCATGTTTGTTTTGGAAGCTGGCACAAACAGAGGTAAGTTTCCTCATCTGACGTTGACGTGGGTGTGTGGGGTTTCCCCACCCCGCCACCTGGCAATTCTCCGGCGCCAGCTGCTGCCCTACGATTTAACCCAGCTCTGACGCGGGGTACCCGGAGATGCCATCAGATCCCACAGCTTGAGGGCTCAGTCCTACAAGACTGCCCCCCACTTCAGATGGCAGTAGCAAGTCCAGGCTGTCGCCTGGGCTTCTGAACAACTGGCTGTAAATCGGAGAGTCCCACAGTTCGCTCCTTGGGTTTGACTCATCTTCTAGAGCAGCTCTCGGAATTCAGAGAAACATTCTACTGATTGGGTCACTGGCTTATTATAAATGTATGTAGCTCAAGAACAGTCAGAGGGAGGAGATGCACGGGGCAAGGTATGGGGAAAAGGCTTAGAGCTTCTGAGTGTACCTCTCTGCCTGAAAGTCCAGCGCTCACCAACCTGGAACCCTCTCGAACCCTCTCCCTGTGGGCTTTCAATGAGGCCTCATCACGTAGGCACAAGCGACTCCATCAGTGGCCCCACAGGCCGGACGTTCCCCAAGTCAGGCTCTGCTGTGGGGACACTGAGGAGAAAGGGAACATCAGGGGCTGGTCCAAGCCCCAGAGCTGCCCTTCCTGAAATTGCATCCCAAATCCTGGGCTTGCCCTGGAGTTACCTCAGCTGACCTGGGGTCCTCATGGGGAAACAGACGCGTAGGGTTGATGTATATTTGGGATTTATTTGGACCCTGACAGGATTTACCCCAGCTCAGACCTGGATCTCAGGGAAAAGCAGTGTTGCCTGTCCTTTGTCAACCCCTTCCTCGTGACCCATCAGGAGGAGCGACCCTCCGGGCTGGAGCGTTCCTTGGTGCGCCTTCCTGCTCGGGGAGCAGGGGCCTGGGTGCCCAGGTCCTGCCAAAGGAAGCAGGGACCTCTGTTCAAGGCCTTGGCTCCCAAAAGACTCACCCTCTGGCTTGTTCTTCCCAGGACATTCCAGAGCCATGACACGTCTCTTAGGAAAGAAGAATTATTTTTGCCAGTGGCATAAATAAATCCAAGAACCAGTTCCAATAATCACAGTGCATGCCAGCTCTCGAGTGCTCGCTGACAAACGCAGGAGGGAACCAGAAAACTGCCCAGAAAGGGCACTCGTGGTGGAGGGGCCCGCAGGCAAGTCAGGATGCCAGGCCCGAGTTCTGCAGGAAGGGACAGCAGGAACGGGTGAGATTTGTGTTTAAGATTATCAAGCTTTTCAAACAAATACAAAGAGCAATTTAAAAACCAAATCTAGAAAGTGGACCATACTCTGTAATTCTCTCCCTAGAGGTTATTGCTAACCATCAATTTATGTTTGTTTTTTCTCATGCTTGCTTTAATATTTTTTGATCTATGTAGGCATCTGTAAAAACAACTCTATGTGATATTCTTTTGTGTTTTTAAACTTTCTTTAAATCATTTTTTTTACTGTACATGTTATATTGCAACTTTTTTTTAAGATTTTATTTATTTATTTTTAGAGAGGGAAGGGAGGGAGATAGAGAGAGAGAAACATCAATGTGCGGTCGCTGGGGGTTATGGCCTGCAACCCAGGCATGTACCCTGGCTGGGAATCGAACCTGTGACACTTTGGTTCACAGCCCGTGCTCAATCCACTGAGCTACGCCAGCCAGGGCTATATTGCAACTTTTTAAAAGAAAGTTGTGGCAAAAACCTCCGAACAACACAACTTAAATTCATGCTACCAACAATTTCCAAGTCTACAGTACAGTATTGTCAACCACGGGCACAGTTTTCTAACAGGTCCCCGGGACCCCCTCGTCTGCACAGCCGAAACCCTGAACCAAACAGTAACTCCTCACCTTCCCCTCTCCTATCCCCTGGCAACCACCATTCTATAGTCTACGAACGTGACTACTTCGGGTGCCTCATAGGAATGGAATCATAGAGAATTTGTCTTTTTGCGACTGGCTTCTTTCACTTAGCATAATATCCCTGAGGTTCATCTATGTTGTAGCACCTGTCAGAGTTTCTCTTCCTTTCTAAGGCTGAATAATACTTCATTGTGCAGACAGAACACACGTTGTTCATCCACGGACCCATCCCTGAACAGTTCGGTGGCCTCCACCTCCTGGCCATCCGTGAACATCAAAGACAGAGAGAAAAGTTTGAAAGGAGACAGGGAACGAAACCCCTTCCTTGTAGAACAAGAATGAGAGTCACAGGTGGCTTGTCTTTAAAAACCATGCAAACAGGAAGAGAGTAGAGTGAATTATTTAGAGTATTGAAATGAATTAAATGAATGAAAATGTGGAAACCACCACCCAGAAGTTCTGTATCCAGTGCAATTATCCTTCAAGAGTGAAGGAGACATAAAGATTCTCTCAGACAAACAGAAATTGAGGGGGGTTGTCACTGCCAGATTTGCCTTGTAAGAAATAGTAAAATGTCTTCATAGAGGAGGAAAATGGTATGGATCAGAAATTTGGATCTACATAAAGAGAAGAAGAATGTTAAAGAGGCACAAATGAAAGTTAAACAGCCTTAAAAATTTTTCTTAATCTAATAGTTTGCTTGAAAAACAATAATAGTAAAACCATATTTGCTGATTATACTTTATGGATAATTGAAGTGAATGGCAACAATGTCATAATGGATGAAGACAGAAATGGGAAATGCTCTGTTACAGGGTACTTGTACGACCCGTGAAGCAGTATAGCGTTACTCAAAAGTGGACTTGGATGAGTGGAACTGTATACAGCAAACTCTAGGACAGCCACTAAAACAAGTTTTAGAAAGGATTAGAACTTAGGTATTAGTGAGGATACTCTGAGAGATAGAACCAATAGGGTGTGTGTGTGTAAACAAGGAACTGGCTCATGTCAGACCAGGAAGTCCCAAGAGTGACAATCTGGAGACTCAGGGGAGCTAATGCTCTAAGTTCAAGTTCAGGTGCGGAGGCAGAAGACCCACATGCCTGCTGAAGGCCTGGATGGACAGAGAGGCAAACTTCCCCTCGCCCAGGCATTCAGGCCTTCAACTGTTGGGCTGAAGCCTGCCTGCCTTGGAGGGCGATCGGCTTCACTTAGTCTGCAGATTTCACTGGTGACCTCACCCAGAAACACCCGCACAGACACTCAGAATAATCTGCAACCAAATGCCTGGGCACCCTGTGGCCAGACCAGTGGACACATAAAACTTACCAGCACAATTAATATGCTAGGAGATGAGAAAAACAGAATCATAAAATGCTCAATTAAAAGAAAAGAGGCCAGAAAAAGAGTGGGAGACCAAAAAGCAAAAGCAAAGAACAAATGCAATAACTAGAAAACAGTAACAAATATAGATATTAATACTACTATATCGGTAATCACTTTAAATGTCAATTATTTAAATATACACATTTAAAGACAGAGACTGTCAGGGCATGTTAAAAAACAATCATATGTTCTCTACAAGAAACTCATTTTAAATATAAAGACACAGATGGATAGAAACTGAATGGATGCAGAAAGATATCCTATGATAACAGCAATTAAAAGAAAGCAAGAGAAGCTATATTAATTTATTTATTATTCTTTTTGCCAATTAATTTTAGGCAAAGCAGACTTCAGGGATAAGAGAGGGGTCAGACAGATAGTGATGAAGGGGTCGATCCTCCAAGAAGACGTAACAACCATTAATGGGTATGTGCCCACAACAGAACTTCAAAATACACCAGACAAAAACTAATAGAAATTCAAGAAGAAATAGACAAATTCGGAATTATAGTTGGAGACTTCAACACCCGTCTATCAGCAATAGACCCTCCAGCAGGCAGAAAATCAGTAGGGATACAATCGAACTTAACTCCAAATCAGCTTGATCTAATTGGCGTGTAGAGGATACTTCAGTCAACAACAGAATATACATTTTTTGCAAGCTCACACAGAGCATTTACCAAGACCTCCTAGATCATCAAACGCACCTTAGCAAATTTAAAAGAATCGAAATCATGTGAAGTTTGCTCTCAGATAGTGATAGAATTAAACTAGAAATTAATAACAAAATTATAGGGTGGAACTCTCATGTAGTTGGAGATTAATCAGCATATTTCTAAATAACACAGGAGTCAGGAGAAATTTAAAGATATTTTGAACTCAATGAAAATATAAACACAACCTATCAAAATTTGTGGAATGCAATGAAGGCAGTGCTTAGAAGGAAACTTATAGAATTAAATGCACATACTATAAAATAAAAAAGATTGAAATTATCTAAGCTTCCACCTTAGGACACTAGAAAAAAGAGCAAATTAAATCCAAAATAATCAAGGGGGAAAAAAAAACCCAGAGCAGAAATCAATGAAATTTAAAATAGGAGATCAATAAATAAAATCAAAGAAACCAAAGAGAAGATCAACCTATAGCAGGCTGAGTGAGAAAAAAGGGCAGAGACACAAATGACTAAAACCAGAAATAAAAGAGGGGTCATTACTAATCTCAGGCATTTTAAAAGGATAATAAAGGAATATTATAAACAAGTTTATGCCCACAAACTTAGTAACCTAGATGAAATGGGCTAATTCTTTGAAAGTCATAACCTACTAACATATACACAAAACTAATACAAGGAGAAATACATAATCTAAACAGGCCCGTATGTATCAAAGAAATTGAATCAATGATTAATAATCTTCTAAAGCAGAAAGCACCAGGCCCAGTTGGGTTCATTGTGGATTTTACCAAACGCTGAAAAAAGAAAATGATTGGAAATGATACCAATTGTTTACGATCTTTTACAGAACATGGAAGCAGAGGAAATCCTTCCTAACTAGTTCTACGAGGCCATTACTATCCTGTAATAAAAAAACCCAGTAACTCATTTTGAGAATATAGGCTGTTCATGGAGGTTTTTTTCTCTCTGTGCTCTGCCTGATCGGAGAAGAGCCTTCCAGTGCAGACCACTGGACCACAAACCCTTTAACTACACACACGAGAAAGCCAAAGAAGCTATAAAGAACTTGTGTCTTTTCATTAAGCAAACCTTCACCCTATAGCATTGTTTTGTTTGTTGAACAAAACTTTCCCTTCGTGCATAGTTCAAAAGCACACTAAACCAAACCTCTGGGCATTCGAGTTGGTGGGGCCCAAACGAGTGGTTTTCCTTTCAGTGGTGGTGGAGTAGGTTCGGGTTTCTGGGTGTTGCAGAGGATATTAGAAGAACAAATACGAGCTCCATCAATTTGGCTTGGGACCAGCCACTGGGCGTCAATGTGCAGTTTTATTAGCAACAAACTGAGGCGGATTCCAGGGATCTCGAAACCGCGCCTCTCGCCTCACCGTGCAATACCAAGGAGGAGTATCATTGACCAGAAATCGTTCAGCCTGTATACTGGGCCCGCATGATCAACTTCTGCATTTGCTGCTAAAACCTTGTATCCATAGGGCTCAAGGCCCTTTTAATAATATCTCCTAACGAACTAAAAATAAAGGCTTTTTATTAGGCATACGCCTTGTCTCCTTCGGAGCCAGCTCTGAAGACATGGGGTCTCTAGACTCGCTTGGTTCCTGGAGCCAGGCACCGTGGGCCTGGGAGGCCAGCGCATGTGCACTGGGCTCCCGGGGCAGCTGGGGCTGCACAGACCAGTGGGAGTCCTCGACTCTGTGTAGCTGGAGCCCTGGTTCCTTTAGAAAATTTTGAGAGGCAGCAGCTTTCAAGTGGCCACAGTCTGGTTTGTCCTCATTTTGACTTGGAGCCTAATGCCGTCTTGGCTTCTCCAGCCATTGAGACGTGCAGGTGTCTCTCACGGGACAAAATCGTGGTCGGACCGAGAGCCCTCCCCTGGCCAGAAAGTCCAGATCCTCCCAGCTTAGACTTAAGGAAAAATGCGCACATGTGTTGTAGGTGAGGGCTTTTCTCTGGGTGTCTGCCGAGTTCCCCCAAGAGTCAGCTTCTGGGACCTGGCTTCTCCTAGCACCTACCTGGTTCCCAGTCCTCAGCAGCCTTGAACTTGGAGGCTTAGGTATGTGCAGTAGACACTGTGAGCTGATAATGCCTGATCACTTTCTCCTGGACTTTGGAACCATATCCACCTGCCAATAGGGCAGCTCCTGTGGAAGTCCACAGGTGCTTACAGCCAACCCGTTCTTCCTGAGATTCAGGATCCCCTCTGGCTGAGAAGGGGGTCCCCTGTCTGCCTTGCTGCTAAGCAGTAACATGGCCTCTCCCTTCACTTCTCCCTCCTTCCCCAGTTACACCCCGGTGTCTGGTACACCCTTCCCTTCTCTTTCTCCTTCTACAACTACCCTAGTTCTTATTTGGAGGGCAGGTTCCTTTGTGTGGTGTTTTCAAAGAGCCCTGCTCTTCTCCATGAGAAACTTACCTCTCTTTGTAATTACACCATTCTTGTGGTTCATTGATTTCCTGATGCCCCCTTGGATCATGAGCTCCACGAAAGCAGGGCCCTTTCTCTTTTCACTCCCTGTTTTATGTCCAGTATCTCTTCAGAGCCTGGCCCAGACTAGACCCTCCATAAACATTTGCAGAATGAATGGATTACAGAAACAGCTCCCTAACGGGTATCTTGCTTTTGCTGTTCTTCAGTCCCTTTCCCCCCCTGCTGCGGCAAATGCATGGATCCAACTGGGATGTCACTACCCTGCTGGAATGTTTCCAACAGCTTCGCATCGTCCTCAGAGAAAATCCAACGCTTGGCCGGGCGGATGATCTGGCTCTGCTGTCTCTCAGCACTCTCCGCCGCTGCCCTGTGCCTGGGAGTCCTTCTCAGCCTTGTTTGCATCCTTCCTCCAGCCTTCCCCTGTTGTCCCCTCTGCCCGGAATACTTGCTCTGCAATCGCCTCTTGTGTGACCAGCTGGGATGCTTCCCCCCTCACCTCCCAACAGATTAGTGATCTACACACCAATGCATTTCATCTGTCACCTTATTTACCCGACCCCGTCTCCTGGCTTGGGGTAGATTCACTCGATCTTTGTTGAATGAATGAATAAATGAATGACACGTCCCCAAGGGCAATATGGATGTTGGCCAATGCTTCCAGGCTCTAAAAATGGGATGAGAGGTAGAGTTCATCCAAGGTTCATGCAGTAAACATGCGTTGAGGACATGCTCTGTGCCAGGCGCTGGGATCACAGATGGCGTGGCGGAGATGGACATGGAGAGTGACTGTCGTGACAAAGGTTTGGTGAGTCTCTCACCAGAGCGCAGAAGGGTGCCATGGCCGGTGTTTGCTCAGCTCCCAGAGGCAGATGGGGGAGGGAGGGGCTCAGTCCTGCGCTTTCACCCACGGAAGTTGTCCCTTGCTGTCCAGGGTAGACAATCAGAGAGGAAATCACGGGATGCAAGGACAAGTCATGCAATTAGTCTCCTGCTTTTGAGAAAGACCGCTCTTTGTTTAAAGGCATTTTGGCCACAATGTAGAATTCGACAAACCTTGATGCGAAGAAACTTTTTCTCACAGGTCACCTCAGTCCCTCCTGCTGCAGTCTGAGCTCGTTTCTTCTTATCTGCGTCCTGCTCACGACCCACCCAATCACTAGTTCGTGCCATTCTTCTCTGCCTGGTGAGCCTTCCTGTCTGTCATCGGCTCTGTCTACATACTGTGATCCTAGGAGTTCTCAGGTCTAACTCTCCCTGGGGAGGTCGGAGGGCGGGGAGTGGTAAAAGAAAGAACTAGAGTTCTGTCCACATGAATTGAACTCAAAGACATAATGTGGAATGAAGAAATAAAGTTAGAAAATCGAGTATATAGTATATCATTTACATAAATCATCCGATACACAGAACAATATTACACATTTTGTGGGTGTGCACACACACACACAAGTGTGAGGGGAGGGCCAGGAGGATGCAGTGACAATGCAAGACCGTGGTGATGGGGGAGTGAGGCCAGGAACAAAGAAGACGTGAACGTCTGTGTGTCAGACAACCTCGTCTGGGCAGATGGTGGCGTTGTGTCATCCATGGAGAAAATGGTAACTGGAATCTGCTCAAGTTCAGCCCCCAGAGGAAAACCACACAAGTCAAGGTGCATTATTCGTAGAGGCAGCTCTCCGCTGGGCAAAGCACAGAGTCATGGTGAAGGAGAGAAGCCACCCGGTTAGGTGCCTGGGAGAGGTGAGGGTGGGCATGCGTGCTCCGGGACTACTGTTGTTTGGCACATCCGTCCACGGGGGAGAGGAGAGAAGAAGACAAGACACTCTGAGCAGTGGGGCAGGGAAAAGAGTCTGAAGTTCTTTCTGGGATTAGAAAAGATATACAGACATGTCCCCGAGATGAACAAACAAGCCCGCAAAGGATCTTTAGCTCCAAACCTCAGACATGTTTACACAAACGGAGGCACATTGAACGTCATGACCTTGCAAGTGAGGCACAGATTGGGTACTTTTAAGGCAATGCCAAAACGATTCACACCCCTCAGAGGCTGCTGATACAAGCACCTAGCCCTCAGCTCTCACTACTACCTCCATCACACTGCGCTCTCTCACTCCCAGGCCTCTTTGTGTCTCTTTGGACTTTATGTCAATTGCATTATATTTTAAAAAATAACTTTTATGCTAAGGTTATGGTTTTGTTTTGCTGTCTTTTCTTTTTTTAGAGATTTAATTTATTTATTTATTTTAAGATTGTATGTATTTATTTTAGAGGGAGGAAAGGAGGGAGCAAGAGAGGGAGAGAAACATCCATGTGTGGTTGCCTCTCGTGCTCCCCCTACTGGGGGCTTGGCCCACAACCCAGGCATGTGCACTGACTGGGAATCGAACCAGTGACTCTTTGGTTCCCAGGCCGGTGCTCAATCCACTGAGCCACATTAGCCAGGGCCCTGTTTTGCTGTCTTCACGGGTCTGTCTTTGAATAGGATGAGCACTTTCCATAGAAAAGCACAATTCAGTTAGCTGTGCCCATCAGAAGTAAGTTATTCAGACCACAAAGCCCTAAACAGGTGGTTCTGGCTTGTCTGGAGCTAGAGACCTGAAATTAGGAGGAAAAAGCTGCCTCTGGCCTAAAGCTGTGCACCCTACTTTTATTTTCATTTTAAAAAAAGATTTTATTGATTTATTTTAGAGAGAGAGGAAGGGAGAGAGAAAGAGAGGGAGAGAAACGTCTATGTGAGGGAGAAATATTGATTGGTTGCCTCCCATATGCACCCCAATCAGGGACCGAACCCACAACTCAGGCACATGCCCTGACTGGGAATCCAACTGGCTACTTTTCATTTTGCAGGATGACGCCCAACCAACCGAGCCACATTGGTCAGGGCTGTGCACCCTACTTTTAGCTGGTGGTAAATGTTGCTCCAATGTTGCTTCCCCTCCACAGCCACCCAACTTCCACCCCAATTAACATCACACTTTGTAATGAGGTGCGAAGACAGGACTCTGTCTCAGTTTCCCCTGAGGCACCAGCCAGTAAGTGTCCGGCACTCCCATGTTCCAAAGGTGAGAGCCAGCCTACCCAGTGGAGCTTCCAGGGGAGGATTCTGGACACTGTCCTGACACCCATAAAGGAGGATGGGAGAGGAGAGGAGTCTGAGGGAGAACTCTTTCATTGTGGCTATGCAGAGGGCAAGATGTGGGGACACGCCCCCTTACCTTCAGCTGAGGGGGAGGGGCTTTAAGCAGACGCACTGGGACGCCAATGAGAAACGTGCGCCTGACCCTGGCCTGAGGGTCTGAGGGGCGGGAGTCTGGCTGAGCCGGCTGGAGGAGGCACCACGTGGCTGCAGGGCGGGTTGTCAGCCGGTCCTGGCAAAGGACGAACCAGAGGAGATGTGGTCTCACCGGAGAAGCAGCCCCAGGGCCCCTTGCACGTCTTTGCCCCTGACACCCCAAAAGACAGTGCCCCCAGCTCCGAAAACCAGGGGCTGAGAGGGTGTTATGGCTGGCGGTGCAGCGTCCCCCTCCCTCATCGGGGGAACTAAAGGAGAGCAGCCCCTCGGAATCGCCGGAGGGGCCCCCACAGGACCCGGGAAGACATCCCGAAGAGAAAAAATAGTTTTCTATAACTGCTGAGTCTGGAGGCCCCAAAGCCAGCCAGACAGAATCCCGCCGTTCTCTATGGCTCTGCCCGCCCAGCTCTGGTCCTGGAGGGGCTGCAGCTAGGGAGAGGGGGCGGTGCTGCTGGCAGAGAGAGAAGAGGCTTGCTAGGCATTGCCGGTTGAATCGTGCTCCCCCCAAATTCATGTGCTGAAGTCCTACCCCCAATACCTCAGAATATGGGGAGGGGCTTAAGGGAGGTGATTAAAGTTAAAATCAAGTGAGAAGGGTGGGTCCCTCCCCAGTGTGACTGATGTCCATATAAGAAGATGTTAGGACACGGGACTGTGAGACTGAGGGTCCTAATGACTTTGATTAAATTTAGCTTTAAATCCTGGCCCTAGAAAGCATCTCTCTGTCTCTGTCTCTCTCTGTGTCTCTGTCTCTCTCGTCCTCAGAGACCTAGCCTTCCCCCCGGATGATCAGCAGCCGCTGAGTCAGCAGGAGACAGTCGCCCAGACCTGACTACGAGTCACAGGGTTGGACCTCTGTGGGCTAAAGGTAACATCTCGCCTTAAGTTCACTTTCAGCTCCTGAGCCCTAAGGTAGACCGACCTCCTGGCTACTTTCCTGTGAGACCGCACAGAGGGACACGGGAACAGACCTCAGAGCGGTCCTCCAGACCCGAAGGGATGACTCATCAGCTGACCTCCCCTCCGACCAATCGGCTCCTGGTCGACCTGGAATTCTAACCCACCGTGTCTTCTGATTTTGCCCTATGGACTCTGTCAGTGGGGAGTCCGGGCCTTTGAGCATTGGCTTCCTGTTCTCCTGGTGGCCCCATTCATGGGAAATAAAACAGCCAGCCTTTCTCCGCCGCGGTTCTCGGTGGGTTTGCGGGAGGGGTCCAGACAGACCCTGAAGCCGCCTCTGGATCACAGCCTAAGAGCCCTTCTCCTTTCGGAGCCTGCTGGCCTCGCCCGTGACCGCGCCAGTCCCGCCAGCATCATCCTGCGAGGCCTTCCCACGTTCACGGAGGAGTCCGTGGCACCTGGGGTAGATCGTGGCTGCACCGACTGTTCTCCGGAGAAAAGAGAAGCACCGTTGCGAGACCACGGAGGCACTAACGAGCACCTCACCCTCAGCAGGGCCTGGGCGTCGGGCGTGTGGCTCGCCACCCAAGGGCCCGTGCGCTGCTTGTGTCTCTTCCGCGGTCACAGACTGTCCTCGAATCCTGTGCAGCGACGTCTCTCTTCCTCGTGCTGCAGGGCCGCCTTAGTCGCCTCTCCTCTGGGCACCTCCCCCAGATTCAAGAGTGTCTTAGATTTTCTCTAATGAGGTGCCTGCTTTGGTACCTTGGATTCACCCTGCTGTTCCCACTCTGTGGCAGAAGTGACTCTACCAACCAGAGAGGTGGGCTGAGTCCCCAAAAATGTGAAAACTGACCCAAAAGGAGAGGGATCGTTAGGCCTTTCTCTCCAGCGCGGCCAGCGTGGTGTCGAGGAGTCCACCTCCCCAGCAGGGGGAGAACGCAGGCTGGGGCTCTGGGAGCCGTTCACTTTGAAATGAAGCTGCCCTAGGAGCATTAGCCTCGTTTCCTAAATCCACTGAGCAGACCAGGTCCCATCTAAAAACTGAGCTCTTCCGACCAGCTGTGTTCCCCCAGCAGGGCCCCTCCCCCCTCCCACACCCACTCTGGGCCCTTGCCACAGACAGCAGTAGGTGTGGAGGGTATTAAGGGATCCTGGGGCTGCTGCCTTAAGGTTGCTTGGACACGGAAGTGTGCCAGCCTCTTCCCAGCCCTCAGGGAGGAAGCTAAGTGCTCACCACGCTCGGCAAGTTCAGTAAAACCCATCAGGATGGTAGCTAAGAGGTGAGGGTAAGTGGGAGGCCTTGGGGCCGCGGGGCTGGGTGTGTGCTGGGGGCAGCCTGGCCCCGCTGCACCCTGTGCTGGCTGCAGGCCATGCTGCTTCGGTGCTGGAAACTGTTGATACGGATCTGTGCGTCACGCGGCCCTTGGCGGGAGGCCAGGGATCCTGGCCCCAGCAAGCTCCCAGCGCCAAGAGCGAAGTGGCCACGCATGAGAGCTGCTCTGTGCAGCAGTAACTAACAGGGACCAAAGCCAAGGTCAGGGCTGGTTGAAACGCACAGCTGGAGGCTTCAGTCTGGCCCCTTCAAAAGCAAAACCCGACCAAATAAAGCAAACCCCTGCTGTCACCCTGAGGATTGTCCACCAAGTAGCTGGTAGGTTCTAGAAACTACTCCCAGGCTGAGGCATTGCTCAGTGGTGGTTCATCCTGTGCAGCAACATTGAATGAAGACAGACCTGTGAGTCCTTTGCGGGGCACTTGGGGCCTCAGGTGATGTTCCAGACATCCCGGGGTTGCTTTTCCACCTGCTCCCGAAGCAGAGACACTCGCACTTTCCTAGATGGTGAACACACATCTGGGGCGTGGCTCTCAGCCTTAGGAAGTGTCAGCTGGGCCGGGGGAGCTTGTTGAAAGTTCAGATTGCACATACTTGCGACAATGGGGAAGATCCGGAACCCCAAGAACGCCAAGTACTGGGAGCATGCAGAGAGACAGGAACTCTCATTCATTGCTGGTGCGAATGCAAAATGGTGCAGCCACCTGGGAAGGTGTTTCCGGCAGCTTTTCCCCAAACTAAATATACTCTTACCTCATGACCCAGCAACTGTACTCCTTCATGTTTACCCAAAGGAGGAGAAAATGTGTCCACGCAAAAACCTGCACACAAATGTTTATAGCAGCTTTTTTCACAGTTGCCAAAACTTGGAAGCAACCAAAATGTCCTTTGCTAGGTAAATGGATAAATAAACTGCGGTACATCCGTCAATGGAACATTATCATTGCTAAAAACAAATGAGCTAGCAAGCCATGAGAAGAGCTGGAGGAACCTTAAACGCCCACTAGTAAGTGAGAGAAGCCAGTGTGAAAAGGCTACACACTGTCTGATTCCAGTGATACGACGTTCTGGAAAAGGCAAAACTGCGGAGGCAGGAGAAGGTCAGTGGCTGCCAGGAGCTGGGGGGAGGGCAGGGGAGCAGGCAGCGCACAGAGGAGCCCGGGGCAGTGGAATGCTCTGTGTGACACTGTACTGGTGGGGACACGTCATTAGACATTTGTCCCCACCCACAGAACACACCACACCAAGAGGAGCCCTGACGTCAACTAGGGACTTGGGCGATGGTGAGGTTTCAGTGAGGTTCATTGAGTGTAACTAACGCGTCGCTTCGGTGGGGGTGTGGGCGGTGGGGGCGGCCGTGCACAGGCGGGGTGTGTGGGAACTCTCTGCTTTCTGCTCGGGTCTGTCTGCTGTGCACCTAAAACAGTTTTATAAAACTAAGCCTATTTTAAAAAATCTATTAAAAAAAGAAAAAGTCTATGGAAATAGAGTGGATTCCTGGGGTCCACTCCCTCACTTGGAAGAGGTTCCGAGTCAGCAGGGCTGGAGCTGGGCCTGGGAATCCACATTGTGAAAACCCTCCCATATGCTCCGGTGCCAGTGGTATGTGGGTCACCCTCCGAGAAACGCAACCTCCCAGCTTCTCCTGGAAGCTGACAGAGGCAGAAAGAGCCGCAATGCAAGATGCTATTGGCCTCTCACACCTCTAGACATGGTCCTGCCTTTGGGCTTGGTTAAGTCACGTGATGAACGGGGGAAGAAGGGTCAAAGGTTTGGTGTCGCCCTGGCCTGGTAGCTCAGCTGGTTAGAGTTTCATCCTGATATGCCAAGGTTGTGGGTTTGATCCCAGTCAGGACACATACGAGAATCAACCACTGAGCCCTGGCTGGTGTGGCTCAGTGGATTGAGCACTGGCCTGTGAACCAAAGTGTCACCGGTTCGATTCCCAGTCAGGGCACATGCTTTGGTTGCGGGCCAGGTCCCCAGTAGGGGGTGCACAGGAGGCAACCGCACAGTGAAGTTTCTCTTCCTCTTGAAAAAATCAGCCAGTGAATGCATAAATAAGTAGAGCACAAACCTATGCTTCTCTCTCTCTTTCCTTTCCTCTCTCTCTAAAAAGTAAAAAAAAAAATATATGTATATATAAAAGGTCGGTGTGGGCAGGAGTCTGGATTATTGCAATGAACTCCTTCCGGGCTATTGCCCCACCCCGGGCCTCTCTCCTCTGTACTTGTTTATGCAACTGACCACAAACTCTTCCTTGAACAACATTCTCATTACATCAGCTTCCTCCTCCAGGACCTTAATGTCTCCCTGCTGCCTGTAAGGTCAAACTCAAGTGCCGATATCTCTGATCTGCAGATCTGTGGGGGCTCCTAGCCCCCTCCACACCTCCCCCACCCCATAACTGTCTGCTTCAGCCAGGTTAATCCACCCGCTGTTTCCAGGACATTATCCCCCTTATCTGCACA